CATGAAGGAGGAGGGAACAGGGAGAGAGGGGTAAAAAATGAGCTGATGCCAGGGGCTTGAGTGGAAAGCAGATGTTTTGAGAATGATGATGGCAACAAATGTGCTTGACACAATGGATGTATGTATGGACTGTGATAAGTGTTGTATGAGCCCCCAATAAAATGATTTAAAAAAAAAGACCTTCTCCAAGCACCAGTGGCTTAAGGCCAGAGCTGCCAACTTGAATGCCCTCCAGGACTGATGTTCCCTGACAGACACCTGTGTCACCGGGGCTTTTCCTTCCAAATGGACCAACCAGCTTGGGCCAGGGCGGGGCTGAAGGGGCTCCTTCACACCTTCCCCAGAGCACCTGGGGCGGCTCTAACGAGATGGGATGCTGCCCTAGGGACTTAAAGAGTTAGCATCTGGGTCCCCCACCCTGTGTCAGAAAGAGCAGACCTAGAGGGGTAGTGGCCTGGGGTGTGTTCCTAGAGCCCCACCTTCTCCTGTTTTCAATTTCCCCGTGCACCAGTGAGGCCAGGCTAATGAGGGCGATGTTCCTCATTTTGCTGAGCTTTTCCTGTGTAATTGGAAGTCCCGCTTTCTCCAGCGAGAAGTCGGTGCGAGCTGTTCCCCCGAATAGTTCTAAATGCTTTGGACCACATGCTGATATCAGCTGCAAATTTATGGGCGAGAGTCTAATGATTGCTCCATAATGCAATATTAAAAGCCAGAGGTCTCTCACGGTGCGGAGTGAAGACGGAGCTCCAACCTCCGTCCAGCTTCAGAAAGTGACCTGAAGGAGAATTCTCAGCACTTGTACTCTAAGAAGCAAGCAAGCAAGCTCACACATCCTCCCCACTCCAAATTATATATATATGGAGAGAGAGAGTAGATATACGAGGGTATGGATTTAGTTACAGAAAAATCCGTGGCCGTTTCCAGGAGTGTGAGCGAGGGAGCCCTCTCAGGCACCGGTCTCTGGTTCCCGTGGCGTGGGGCACATCTGTAGATGTTCGCTCATTTTGGGAGCTGCAGCCCAGCACTTGGCTAGCTATAACAAGGACTTGAGGGAGCAAAAGGCTGTTAAAAACATTTCTTTTTCTTCCTGCTTTTGCTTCACTAGTCCTAGAAACTAGGGGTTCCGTGGCTGTGAGTTTTCCTGTATAATTTAAGAAATGAATGAAAGTGTGCCTGATTTTTCCCAATGCTTTTAACTCTAAATATGTCGAGTTAAAAAAAAATTTTTTTTTTAGCTGTCAGTTGAGGTTGTTGGAACCTAAATATTTTAATATTGAAGAAACACAGGCACTTTGTGGTTGTTTCCCTTAAGAAACACATTTCTTGCCATCACCCAAACTCTGTTTGGGAAGCCAAGTGTTAGGGGTTAAGAGCAGCCTTGAGTCCAAGTTTACCCATTGCAGACCATCCTCTGACCTTGAAACAACCTAGTTCTTACAGTGATTGGGAGGGAGGGGGGTCCCATGTTCTTACAGTGATTATGAGGGAGGGGGTCAGAACTGGAAACCTCAGTTTCAGCTGCTGTGGCCTCTCCCCCTTCACCGCAAAATAGAGAGTTAGAGCAATTTGCTGCTTGGTGTCATGTTCCACGGCTCCCTTTACCTGATTAATCTAGACACCAAGTGTAAAGGACTGGCGTGGGACGTATGTAAACAGGGAAACCCAGCCTCGTGGGACTTGGAAGGACTTGAGAATGGCGTAACCTGAATGTTGGTGAGGGCTGTAAACAGATCTCAAGTACATGGGAAGATCATGTGTGAACTTGATATTGTAAAACTGCCAGTCCTCCTAAATTAATCTATACACTTAAGCAGTCTTAAAATTGTAGTAGAATTTCTGTTTTGGAATTGGAATATATTATCTCTATGTTATAGGTGTAATTTGAATAAATATATTTTATATCTTTAGATAAAACAAATTAAATGATTTAATATATTTATATAACATAATATACAATATAGTATATATAATTTACAAATCCCTGATCTGGCAAAGGACTTGTATCTAGAATGTATAATGAGTTCTTACAACTCGCCAGTAAGATAAAAATACAGTTTTAAAAATGCAAAGAGACATTACCAAAGAAGAACTGTAAATGGCAAATAAGCACATGAAAAGATGCTCTCCCACCATCAATATTGTCCTGATTCACAGTGACCCCCTGTGTAACTGCCCAGAACCGGCCAATCGGGGTGAGTTGACTGTAATCATATGGAAGCAGATCACCAGACCTTCCTTCTGTGGGGCCACTAGATGGGTTCAAACCACGAACCTTTAGGCCACTAGTTGCGCACACTCTGCAGCCCCCAGGAACCTCACTCACAATTAGGGAAATACAAGTCAAAATCACCATCAGATACCACTGCATACCCGCTGGAAAGGCCAAAATCATGAAGACTGACCATATGCTGAGAAGATGGAGAAACTAGAACACAGTGGGCTGTGTTACGCTGCTAACCCTGAGGCCAGCAGTTCGAAACCACTAGTGTCTCTCAGGGAGAAAAATGACGTTTCCCACTCGGTAATGAGTTACAGTTGGAAACCCACAGAGGCAGTTCTACCCTGTCCTACAGCATCAGTATGAGTTGAAAAAACTCAATGGTGGTGAGAGTTTGAGAGCACTCGGACATTTTTAAAATTCTCCCACATTTTAATGATATTTTATTGTATTTTTGGTGACGACTTACATAGCAATTTAGGATCCCACTCAGTAATTTCTCTAGGAGTTGTTCAGTAGCATTGGTTATTTTCTTCACAATGCATGAAGAGTCTCACTCGTTCCTAACAACATATTTTTTTTAACAACATATTTTCAGTGCTTATCTGAGAGAACAAAAGTTTGGGGGGAAAAAAAGAAGGGGGAGCAGGTCCCGTTAGACCTAATGCTAAATGATAAAGAAAACCATGTGAAGATAGACAAGAATATACAGACAGAGGCTGGCAACTGTTGAGAAAGTCCAGTGCTAGAGTCCAGGCCACATGAGGATTCAGACTTCACCAGCTGTGGTGTTCCTCGTCAGGGAGATTGGGATGACTGGCACAGGGAAACAACCAAACCACCGTCTCTCGTCATTCACAATAGAAAATGTAGTTGTTTGAATATTTAAACGTGAAAAGTGGGGTCATAAGAGAACAC